AGCTTCAAAGTATATATGTTCAGAACACTAAAACAAGCTTATTCTGTAAGTTTCAGAAAAATCTAAAGAAAATGGATTTTTCGGAGAACGTCCTTAAATAAAGAAATTTCATTTAGTGTGAGATAACAGGTAAAAAATAAATTAAATTTTACCAAGATTTTTAAAGAGGGAGCCTCGAGATGGTTGCTTTTGCCTACAAATCGATTACCTACAGTATCTTTTGCCTACATCACTTTTGCTTACAGTTCGATTGCCTACATGTATTATTACCTACAGCTCGATTGCCTACGTGCGCTTTTGCCCACAAATATAAAATTAAAGTTAAGTAAGATAATAATTTTTAGGAAATCTGTCATGTGAACAGTGGAGTGTCAGCGTAGACAGTGTCCGCTTGGAATATTTTTTCAAAAAAATCTAACCCTAACCAAACCATTTGTTGGTGTGAGGTAGCCCTCATTTCGCGTGGAAAGTTGTAAGCTGTAGGCAATAATGTATGTAGGCAATCGAGCTGTAGGCAATCGAGTTGTAGGCAATCGAGTTGTAGGCAATAGTACATGTAAGCAAAAGTAACTCCGTTTCTAAAATTTTTATTTGTGCGCAAAAGCGCATGTAGGCAATCGAGCTGTAGGCAATAATACATATAGGCAATCGAACTGTAGGCAAAAGTGATGTAGGCAAAAGATACTGTAGGCAATCGATTTGTAGGCGAACGGGATCCCTCCGGGAGCCTCGTGTAACCGGTTCAAAAAAGTCGTAAAATGTTTTTGCTTTAATCAATAGTAGACATGTCAAAAATTTTCAAAGCTACAGAACGAAACAAAGTTTTAAGGAATCTTTGTCTATCCCTTGCGTAAGTATACGAGACTATTTACTCGATTCTGTTCATAAATCTGTTTTCTGCAGCTGAACTAGTATACACTTCCTAGTGAGAAATGACAATGGAATCGATGTCGAATCGACGTGAAAGATGATTTCGAGTTTCGACGTCGAATCGACATCGATCCATTGTCATTTCTGACTTGGTTTTGAAACTTAAAGCGAAATAGATATATGTGTGGTATTTGGCGAAAACGAAAATTCTAGTGTCGTCTAGTACAAAAATAAAAAATAGACCTTATGATAATATAATTTTTACTTTTCGATATCAAAAACTTTAAACGCGTTTTTCTCTAAACCATTTTTTTTTGGAATTGGTAGAAAAGATTAGGGGAGACCAGAGCTGGTTGTCGTACGGGGTTGAATGTCAAAATGCTCATAACTCAAACAAGACACGGCAGAAAAATCTTTTTTTTTGACTGTAGATAGCTGATATAATATTAATTTGTTGTGTAAAATGGTTTGCACCACAAGCATTGTATATATTATTTATAGCGATTTTTGAGAAAACGAAGTTGGTGAGTAAATTTTTATAATCACCTATTTTGTTATCTGACACAAGTCTTTGGTATTATTAATCGTAATATCCCTGTCATAGAAAATGACATATCTTAGAAGATCTTTGCTACAATTAAGTAATCATTATTCTGACTAAGTTTGTGAATACAATCTCTTTTATTAAAAATGGATATGTGGTGTAGATTGACCAAAATGAGACGAGATTAGGTGACAATTAATTTTAATATCTTTAGAGGACACATTTTCAGAGAATATACTTACAAATATATTATATTTCGTATAGATATATGTTTTTTCATTTTTCATATAAAAACTATGGTACAAGAACAAATTACGTATTTTATGATTAAAATAACTATTTTATTTGTATTAGTACTATAATTACTATTATTTCTCAAAATATAGAACTGACATTAAAATAAAAATTAATTGAACTGATATTAAAATAAAAATTGTGTTTTTTATATTTGTTGTCCATAACAAATATGCTACTGCCAATTCCAGAACGTGTGATAATCAACCCAGGACACGGGGTTAATTGTCATATTTTCGCAGCTTCATTTAAAATTAAATAACTTATTTTTATGATATGATGAATTCACGAGTAATATTTTTTTTAATGCCTAAAGGATGTAGGTATATTGTAACGTATATAATATTTCAAAATCAGGCATCCACTTTTTTCTAAAAATCAATAATCAAAAACTGTGACAATCGGCCCCGGTCTCCCCTAACTCAGAAATTATTGATCCCCGGACTCAGAAATTATTGATCAATCAAATTGTACGGATGTAATACATGAAGTTTACCAAATACATTTGTCATTGAATCTGTAAAATTAATAAAATAATAAAATTAATTTAAACAATTTTTATTGCATAAATTAAATAAAATTCTTTGATAAAGTTGTACTATTTTTTAAAGTACTTCCTTTTCTTAATTTTCAACTTTTTTCTTATTTTCTTGATTTACTAAAAAAGTAATTTAATAAAAAATAAGAATTATAATTATTGTGTATTATTGCCTCAAAGTACAAAATGCAATTCTTGCATTTACAACTCCGGTAAGGAGATTGCGTCAACGTTTGTTATGGACTCTACAAATTAAATCAATTGTTTTTTAACAAAATATTTTTTCTTAAAAAACTTAAGGGGATCCTAAAGCAAAGCTCGAACTCCGACAAAATCCCTAGATCGCACCGCGCGCCGTACATTGACATGTCTTTTTATACTACCACAGCAATATCTCACGCAGCCTATGATAAACGCAGTCACACATACGTGTCAATTTTCGTACAACGAATTCGTCGCGATAAAGCGTCTAAATCTAATTCTAAGAACTCGACGTTGTATGTTCGTGCAAATTACGTGTTTGGGAACTATTATTTCGTACGTTCGGGTTGCAAAGCTTTCATATCAAGCAAATGTTGTCATGACTTGACAGCTGAGACGCCATGTTACACTAATGGCTGTTCTATAATGTGCTTTTTGTTTCCTGTTTCTTGCTGTTTGTCTCTTGCTTTCTCGATCAAAAAGGCAAGAAACAAACAGAGACAAACAGCAAGCAACAGGAAACAAAAAGCACATTGTAGAACAGCCATAAGGAATGGTAAAAAATATATCGATTTCGAAATTTTTGATCATTCTCAACGTAGACTCCATTTCACAAACACGTATTAATGAGTATACTTTAATCCTGGAAAAGAATTTTCCAATCCGTGAAAGAGAAAAAGAGTATTCGTTATACAAAAATTATACGTGTTTAGTCGGTAATACAGATCTTTAGGATCCCCTTAAAAATGTGTAATAAAATACAGAAAATCTTTAAAAAGATTCACTACATTGTTTCTTAAAAAAAATTCTATAAAATTACCTAGCTTCTTTTTAGTGATTTATACGAGGCTCCCCCCTTAGAGGATTGGTTATTAACTTTAATCTGATCTCCTGTAAACTAGTCATTTAAATCCTATGCGAATCTTAAATGTGATGAATGCATATTATCGTTTCTCATTTAAAGAGTAATTATAGAAGTAAAAGTAGAGTGTTTAATTATTATTCTTCTTCTTTTACTCTTAAATTAGAATGATATGATCACATCCAGATATACAAATTGCATAGTTTATCATTAATCATATCTTTTCTATAAACATACAAAGTACCAGTGAAAAATATAAAAAAGCCCATAAGAGCCTATACATCGGTTGTTCGGATGCACAGAAAACTTCATTTTCGTGTGAATGTAACAAAATAAATAAAATTTTTCGAAGATTCTTTTGAGCCTTATTTTATATATTTGTTCATACAAAGTACGTTAAAATAGATATTAAATTTGTAAAGTCGATAAAATTGTTAAAATTATTACGTGTGTCGACTTATGTTATAAAAATCTTCAGAATTAAATATTACATATTTTAGGACACAAATTCCTTTTTCTTGTCGTAATATGATAGATTAATAGATTTTATAAACTTTCAGCAAAACGTCTTCCCGCTTGTCTTCCGCCAGGCAATCTGAAAAATCAAAATTTAGAGGGGATGGAGACTTTCATCGCTGGATGGGGAACTACTAAATATCGTAAGTAGAGGAAAGACCCTTATTATGAGATACCGAGTTCGTTTTAGGTAAATGCTAGAAGTTTATGGGCAGAATTTAAAAAAATAATAGGTCATTTTGAAGGGAATTTAATATGCTTTAAGATAATGTTATATAAAATTTAATTCAAATTTCATTTTTTTTGAAAATGAAAGAAATATAAAAAGTGAGCAAATCGCAAAGTCAAAAAATTGTGCTCCTAGTATGAGATGCCCTGAGAAATCGATAGTAAAATGCAAAGTATATTAGTATTGCAACTAAAAAACTTTATTTAATGTTTCTTAAATACAAACAAACACAGCCAGGTTGCGCGAAAAATGAGTATGCGATACATTATACCCAAAACTCGTCTTCAGGTAGCTGAAATCAAGCATCGCAGAAACAGGCACTCGATATTCATTCCGGTTGTCCTTTTTATTATTGTACAATAATATTTATACTTTAGCAATGATTTTCACTATGACATGGGAGCATGGGTTATTTCATATTAGAAATACCCTGGGTATCTCATATTACGATTTCCACGCCTTACAGTTTTGCGATCATCAAATCTAACTTCTGTAATTAAGCAATTCAACACATCCCGTATTTTTCTATTAGTACGACCTTACTCTATCACTACATAAAGAATTTATTGCCAAATATTTATTTATTAAATAATAAACAATGTTTAAAGGCTCATCTTAATGAAACTTGAAGATATCCAAATTTTAAAATCTTTTTTTACGATGACTACAGGCATGATTTAATAATGAATTTTCTACTAAACAGTTTTCAATCAAAGAGCAATAAATTCATTGTGGAACCAATAGATAGCGTCTATTAGTTTAGCAGAAACGCCGCTATCTTGTATTAGGCGCCTATGTAATAATAGGGGGCTTTCCTCTAATAATTACTTATTGTTAGTAATTTGTGGAATGAATTAATTCTTGCTTAATTATAATCTGATAATAAAAATACAATAATCTTTTCATTCTAAAAATGCTAAAGTTTGTTGCATCCGTATTTGTTTTTCAGAAGGAACATCGTCCGATAAACTTTTGAAAGCCACAGTTTTTATAACTAAACAGAAAGAATGCAAAGATGCTTACAGTAAAGATTATTATGCAGTTATTGATAACCGCACTGTATGCGCAAGAAACGATGGAATAGATTCCTGTCAGGTGAGAAGAAGAAAATAAAAAAATTATAAAAAAAAATTAATGAAAGATTTGCACATTTATCTCTCTCTAAATAGTTTAACAAACAAATAAAGAAATTAATAAAGAAATTAAGAATTATTTATTTGTATATATGTATATATATATATATATACAATATATATATATATGTATACATACATTATGTACTGTAATTAATTAAATAGATAATTTTGTATTTAATTTTAATTATTTTTAAATTAAATTTTGCCTTTTCAATTATTATTATCACTTCAGTGTTATTTTTACTATAAATTACTTTATTAAATGTGTGAGTGCGTGCGCGCGCGCATGTGTGTAATTCTGTCAATTTCCGAATCTCTATTATGAACGTTTTCATTATTTTTTTATTTAATGATGTTAATATATAATGTATACTATAAGGAAAAAAATTTGTTATAAATTATAAATTTAATTAGTGATTAATTTCTAAAATTAATTGTAACATTTAAAAAAAGAAAATCTTTAATAATTTGTGTGTGCACTGCATAAATTTAGTACATTTTACTAGTACATATCTCTTACAATTTAACGTGATTTTCAGGGTGACAGTGGTGGACCACTAATGCTGCAAAATGGAAATACAACTGTTGTTGGAATAGTATCATGGGGCAAAGGATGCGCTTCCAAAAATTATCCAGGCGTATACACAGATGTTTCTAGTTTCCTATCTTTCATCAAGGAAGCCATGAGTATAGAAGTTTTTCTTATTAATTGAAACCTTTTAGTTTCTTTGCTAATTTTTTATATAAATTTTAAAAACTCTATGTCTTTATTACGGCATGTAAACAATCTCTTTTTTGAATTATAAATTACATTGTCACAATAATTATTTATCAAGGTAAGGTAGTGTTTGACAAAGATCATCCGTACACTGAAAGAAAAGATTGGCTGCTGTAGTAATTTAGATGGTAAAATATGGCATAGCATATTTTTTATTGGCTAATGCAGCCAATAAAAATGCTATACCATATTCATCTTTTTTTTCAGTGTACCGTTTTAAAATAATGAGTAGTGTTAAATTTTTATTAAAAATTAATGTTTTAATATGTAATTTATTTGCGTACATCTATATATGTTACTTAAAAAATATTTTATAAACAAAAATTGCAGACTTTATATAGTAATATATAATCTCATAAAATAAAAAGGTTACGCAAACGACACACTGTGATGGGTATCGCATACTAACTTTGAATTTTCAATCGTTGTTATTTACAAATTATTCGCTGATTTTACCCAGAAAATGTTTTTCATGTAAGAATATATATAAATATATATATATTATGAATTTTTCATATTTCATTTTTTTGTGAAATTACTATTTAATATACAAAAAATATAATAATAATAATGGGAAAACATGAAAAATAATTAAAGAGATAAATAATTATATATAATTATATAAACACACACACACACACACACACACACACAAAACTGTTTTTCATTATTTCAAACTTAATTTTTTGTAAAAGAAAAAATATAAAAATGATTCTTTAATTTTTTAAAATGTTTTTTCATTCTAATTAAATATAATTTTTCTTATACCAAACAGTAATTTTATAAAAGAAAGAAGGATATACATACATATATGGACATATATTTCGTATGTAATGTATATGTTTATATGTATATATTTTTATACTTATATGTATATGCATGTGTTTATATATATTTATATATGGAAAAGTAGAGTAATTGTGCTTATTTTAATGTAACCGCTATACCGCAGCAAAATTTCTAGAGGTAGTTCTTTGCAAATATAACCGTAAATTACATATATAATTTGAAAATGTAGTTAACGGCAAAAGCGAAAAAAAGTGAAATTATATATTTTGATAGTAATTTTGACATCCAAAAAATAAGACTGTAAATCCATATTCCTAGTTTGCTTATTTAATCGTGCATATATCTTATTGAAGTACGTTATTATGTGGGTCTTTTGAGCTATATTTATTGAATTAAGTTAAAAAGTCTTTGAGTAACCGTTTTTCTTATCAAATCAATTCACGGCTAAAAATTGTGCGCATATAAATAGTTCGAAATTTCCTCCCAATGAAAAATGCACTATTTGAGATGAATTTGAAAGATATGGAACTCTGCCCAGTCGACAAATTAAAAGTAACATGACATCCATGTTATAATTTCGTATTCCACAATATAAATGTAATATTAAGGCCCGTCTACAATACACGGAGTAAGAAGTAAGAGTAAGAAATTGACCAATCACAGTCGATTATTCTTCTCACATTCGACTGTAATTGATCAATTTCTTACTCTTACTTCTTACTCCGTGTATTGTAGACGACGCCTTACACATGGTGTTACATAGCAGTTACATTGTAGAGTGCGAAATTATAACATTGACATTTTGTTACTTTTATAGTTTGTGTCGACTGGGTGATTTTAATACTGCCTAAATTCTGAATATATGGGTCTATGAAGAATTTAATGAAGTTGTGACGATGATGCTGAGAATTACATATGCTATTTTTGTTTAAATAATTAATTTTCCCAATTTTGATATTATTTTTCCAAAGTTTATATTAGGTTTTTATTAACATTGTCCTAATAAATGTATTTTTTCATTTTCTTATCAACATTCCATAAAACATGAATTAGAATGAGTATTATTCATTAGTTTCCTACGATTTTTGCTTTGCATATAAATACTCAATCTATGTGTACAATTACCCGTCGGCATCGCGCGAGAAATTTTTTTGCTTTTACTTTTTTATTTTTTGTCAAATACAATATTACCAAATGAAAAATTGTTTAATATGAGAATGCATATTGATAGAGGAATATATATTTATGGTTTGTCTTATATATACATATATACCGACTTCAGCTTCAAAAACTATCTCACAACAATAAATTCCCCTTAGATGCGCACGATTTTCTCACTTTTCTCTATATGTTTCTTACACGAAAAATGTTTTATCGGGTAATCTTTTGTTCTTTGTCAAAGGAGAGAGAGAAAAGAATGTTTAAATTTGCCAAGTAGATTAATCAATCATAAAGTTATAGAAATATCAATCTTTGAAAAAAAAAACGTCTTGCGTGCTATACTCAATGTATCATTCTAGTGTTAGTTTAACATATAAATATTTATTTTGCTAAAAAAATATGTTTCCACAATTTGTTTCCAAATTTTATCATAGCGTTATTTTTGTTTTAGCTTTGTAGGAAGTAGGCGGCGTTACAAACTGACTCTTGTTACCGACTGTGTGCCACTAGCGACACTCACGCATTCAATTGATGTTTGACTCTTTTTTCTTTTATATACTTAATGTATATCCGTGGATCGTAACCACGTGAAGATATTTCAGTTATTAAAGTTATATTCTATTAAAGAGTGTATTATCACTATCTTTCCTGCCTTTTATCCAGCAAGTTTTTTATATATATTTTTTTTTATATTTGTTAGAAAGTCTTAAGTCTAATTAGAAGATGTAATAGTGTCTCAAGTGACAAATTAACTATTTATTATCGTTTTATTGTTATGTTATTTTGTATATGACTTCTGAGACCGGTTGTGCAATATTTACGCGACCCGTCGATTTATATTAGTACCCGAGATTATCGAATCAGCTGTATCAATTAAGTTCTGAATAGATTTAATTGAAAACTTGAGTTCGAATTATATAATAAAGACCTCTGTGAAGTTGGAACCTCATTTTACAAAAAATGAAATTTTGATCACAGTTCCTGCCCAAAATTAAGAATAGTTCCGGCGAATTAATATAAAAAAAAAAATTTGGGGTGCTAACTTCACAAAACGCGGAACGAAAAATCGCGATATCTTTTAAACCATTAGTCCTAGCGCTTAAAATGATAATAACTTTCGATAGAACCCTTGGGGTGCTATCCAGAACTGTCAACAGAATTGCCGTAGTCTTAAAAAATTGTTTGTCCCTCAGATGTGAGAGAATCAGACATTGAAAAAATCGCGATATCTCTTAAACCGTTGGTCCTAGCGCTTCGAGCATTAATAACTTTCGTTAGAACTTGTGGGGTGCTACTCAGAACTGTCATTAAAATTGCCAGAATTAAAAAAAATTGTTAACCCTCGGGTGTTAGAAATTTTTCGATGCGACAAACGACAGTTCTAGGTAGCACCCCACGAGTTCTAACGAAAGTTATTAATGCTCGAAGCGCTAGGACCAACCGTTTAAAAGATATCGCGATTTTTCGTTTGTCACATCAAAAAATTTCTAACACCCGAGGGTTAACAATTTTTTTTAATTCTGGCAATTTTAATGACAGTTCTGAGTAGCACCCCACAAGTTCTAACGAAAGTTATTAATGCTCGAAGCGCTAGGACCAACGGTTTAAGAGATATCGCGATTTTTTCAATGTCTGATTCTCTCACATCTGAGGGACAAACAATTTTTTAAGACTACGGCAATTCTGTTGACAGGATTCTGGATAGCACCCCAAGAGTTCTATCGAAAGTTATTATCATTTTAAGCGCTAGGACTAATGGTTTAAAAGATATCGCGATTTTTCGTTCCGCGTTTTGTGAAGTTAGCACCAAATTTTTAATTTTTTTTTTTTATATTAATTCGCCGGAACTATTCTTAATTTTGGGCAGGAACTCCAGAACTCTTAGGGGTGCATCGGGAACTGTGATCAAAATTTCATTTTTTGTAAATTGAGGTGCCAACTTCACAGAGGTTAAATGGACACGTATGCGTAAGAAAAGACAGGCCATCTTTATTAAAAGCACACAGACACCGTCAGCAATACGTTTTTAGACCGCGATTGAATTGACGTTCGAGCGACTTGACGTCTCTCCGTTGAATCTATTGCGTTCGTTCCATTGTTCGTTGTCTAACGGTGACGCGCTCTTCACGTCTTTAACCGGTGACTTGATGCAATCCGGAGTTCGGCACGAGCATAACACTATTTCGCACGTACATACATGCAACAAAAGGGATAAAATATTTGTGTCATTTTGAAATCCTCCCCCGCCCGTTTGGATAAGATATTTCACTCAAAAAAAAGTCAAAAGTCTCCGTCCCTACAAAAGTTTGGAGCATGTCTTCATGTTTTTTAAAAATAATTTGGCAATTTTAACATATTCAATATACAATAAAGTTTAAGCTTGAAAAATGTTTTTTTTAATATTATGCTATAATTTTTAAGAGAATTATGAGCTATCAGTCAAAATGCTCCTCTTGTTTAATCACTTCGTGGTAACTTAGTAATAATAAATCTTCAGAACATTTTTTAAAAACGATTGTATACAAAAAAACTTGAGTTTTCACATTAGAAAGTCAAAAATTCTCGCAATTTTTTTTTTGGCCATGTAACAGACCTACGAAATGAGTAGAGAGTAATTCTTATTTTGACCAGTTCGTAGTTTTCTACATGTAAAAAGTACCAAACTCTCAGAAACTTAAAAGACATAGTGATCTTTCAAAAGTAGATCTTTTAAGTTTAAAAAAACTCCACTTTTTATTTAAATTTTGTTCATTTTTAACGAAGTTTTAGCTGTTTGAATTTTAAATCAAAATACTGTTCACTGCGAATTTTTATTTCAATAGAATATAGGTGTATCTTTTTATCGATATAAATTTGAATTCTTTTTTTTGGCCTTTCTCCGCTCATTAATTTTTAAAATTTACTGCATTCTTTATTTTTTCTTAATTTCTTGTTTAAAATTTTAAAAAATATTCGTACCAGTCAAGGGCAATTTAAAAAATATGTTTATGCTCCTTAATGAAATATGTATGGTACAAGACATTTTAGAAGAGGATTCAAATAATTTATTTATAAATATATCCACTAATAAATATGAAAATGATATAATACATTTGCATTTTTAAAATACCTGGACAAGTGATCCACACAATGAGGACTATTATATTAGTGTTCGTCGGTTTGCTGGGTGCAAAATATCAAATATCGTCTTTTGAAGGTATGCTTTTACAATCTTTTTTGAATCTATTATTCCATTCTCGTCAAATGTTTCGTTGACAAATCCAGTATATCAAAACAATGTTTTAAAAAATGCGTTTAGCTTTGTAGATATATACTTTTCATATGCTCATCCGTTTACAGTATTAACCCTATATTAATATTTTAAAAATTTCTAATATGCGCATACATTGCAGTAGAACAAGATAACAAATAAATTAATTTTCCCTTGTTATGATACTTAATACGTAATATTAATACTAACATCATGTAATAATGCTGGTATTATTATAGAATGATATCTTTTCGATCACTCATCGGCAAAAAACGAGCTAAAGTTTAGCACAAATTTTGAATATTTTTAAATTGCGATATCTCAATGAAAAATCACCGCATCGAGATGAACCACAATTCAAATTAAAGCTTGAACATTTCCCTTGATGACTATGGAGGTCAAATTTGAGTTACAAAATGTGATACGGCGGATGTTAGAGGCGGACATCGAAAAATAGTTAAAAAAATTTTTTTTTTTAAACTGTGTCACTGCTCAGAGGAATCGATTACATGGCACAAAAGTGTATGAATCTTTAAACTCATTGATTTTCAAACAAATCCATTTTTGAATATTTTTCATGATTTTTTTGACAAAGTTATATCATTTTAATGAAAGCGTTACAAAATGAACAACTTTTTCTTGTAAACTCAGTATAACTTAGAAACAAATTATTGTAGGAAACTTTATCAGAAAGGAAATTAAAGTGTAAATTTCAAATTAGAATTCTTTTTAATTTTGTGCAAGCGCGTGTGTGTACATATGCATACGTGTATCCTGCTCTCGGCGTTACCCTAGATCAACGATGTGGACTTGGTAATAATCTGATCCCGTGTAGGTGTGTTGGGATAAGGACAAGGGTGGGGGATCCGGCTGGCCGGAATGCACTGTGAAGGCGAACCGAAAGCGGATTAGTAATAAGAAAATGAATATATTTTGGAAAAGGTATCATAAAGTATGCATTATTAACGAAGACCTATTACTACAGAAACTCTCTTTTACAGAAAAATTATTTATAAAATGAAATTTAATGTGATAAAGCAAATATAATATTCCAATATAATGTTATGAATTTAGATTGTTTACGGGTCTTAGTCTGAGCCGATCATCAGGCCCCGAGTTTACGAGGTGTCCGTTATAGGCACCGCCTGAGCCGTTCATCAGGCGTCGTAATTAAATAGTGCTTACTAGACACTGCCTGAGACCGTTCGTCAGGCACGACAAGGCAAAGCGTGGTGTGGCTACCCAGGGCGGACCGTTAGGTAAGCCTGTCCGAGCCAATTCATCGGGCACTCACTGTCCGGATTTATTTATGAACAGAGTAAGCCTAATTAAGGGACTTGATAAGCATCCTCCTGTCGCCAAGATCTTAATCTCAAATCTGAAAATGAGACTGTTGTACCTGACCAATCCAAAATTCACAACTCTCTTGGAGTTCAGCTGGAGTGAGAGGTCCTGCGATCGATTCCGTCGGCAATCGCCGAAAACGCTTCACGGCGCATTTGCAGATTCGTACAAGCCTTTTAAGTGAGAAGTAACGTTCTAAGAGATCCCAAAGAGATGCTTCACTAATTTTAGCAAATATGTGACTCGACCTTTCTTCTAAGCCATTAGCGACGGAAGAATTGGGGTTCAATTTAGGCCAGATGTCAGATGCTTGGCACAGCCATGATGGTCCAGATCACCACAACGAGTGTCGCTCAATTTCAGATTCACTTAACCCTCTAGATGCGCAGTCAGCGGGATTTTCCTTATTAGGGATATAACGCCAATAGGCGGAGGGCAACGCTTCCTGTATGACTGCTACTCTGTTATGAACTTAATTCTTCCATCTCGAAGGGTGCAATGCGATCCAAGTAAGAGCAACGATTGAGTCCGTCCAAAGAAAAATCGAACAGTCCTGCAAATCTAATAGCGTTTTCGGCCCGATCGGGTTTGCACCAATCTTGGTTGGATTAATCTTTCTTATTGGTTGATGTCACCCGCTCTACCAATAGGAGAGCACAAAATGCCATTAATCCAACCTAGGTTGGTGCAAACCCCATCGGGCCGAAAACGCTATAAGACGTTCTGCACGCTGACTACAAGGTGCGATAGCATCAACGCGGTGTTCAATTCGAATCGAGGTATTGTAAGTTTTTTTAGCGGCGCCACTTTAGTCTTGGCACTTACGATATTGACTTGAACTTTAAAGTCTTGCGTTTTGACTCTACAGCTTGATCTACAATTGCGTAAACGTAGTTGTAAATGGTTGTGAAATGTTGTAAAGCGAAGTT